GGGGGTGGGGGGCTCGGGGTCGCGGCGTGGGCCGCCCCCCCTCTGCGCCTGGCCAGGCCGGGGCTGGGGATCCCGAGCTCCAAGCGAATGGCCTGGTGCCTGCCTTTCGCCCCTGGTCGGGGGGCAGGAGCAGAATCTCCATGGCGCGTCGGCACCTGGGGGTGTGGGAGCTGGGGAGACAGGGTCCCCGGTGCACGCTGCCCGCCTCTTTCAGCCGGACAGCCCCGCCCGGGGTTTGTTTCTGCTCCCTCGCAGCGGCCGGGTAGAGTTTGGGGATAAGCTGCAGACTGTCCGGGGCCCCTCTCTGCTTACGGGGGTGGCCTTGGGCTCCCTGTGGTGCGGAAGCCTTCTTCCTGGACTGCAGAGAGTACTGTGCCGGCTCTAGCCCCGTCTAGCCCTGGGAGAGCAGAGCGACCTCTGTGTCACACCCCAGGGAGAGGGTGTGAGGCTGAAGGTGGAGACCTGTCCTAATGAGATCAGAGCAAAGGGGATCCAGGTGAATGATCAATGTCAGCTCCATCTGTGGAGCAAAGAACCTTTGATCCTTCCCGCAGTCTAGGGCAGTGGGGTGAGAGGGGTGTTCCCTGAGACCCTGGTGAGAGAACGCTGACGGGCCCAGTTCTACTGCCCCCTCCCCTGGAGAGACTGCGCCTCCCCGGGTCTCCAGGCATCTCCACCTCCCTGCCCCCGACATCCATTTGGCCTCCCATCTGAAAAAAAGGAAGAAAATCCCGCGTCTGAGCCATGAGGTTGGCTTCCTCTTTTCTCTCACTGTCATTTCCTGACAGGTGCTCTGCACCTGCTGCCTCCTTTGCTCCTCTCCTAATCTTCTGCAGCCCGATGCCCGGCGGCCACTTTGCTGAAGCTGCCTGACCGCCTTCCCGAGAGTCTCTAGTTCCCAGGCCCGGCTCTTCTTTGGACCCTCCGACCTCCAGGCCCTGGGAAGCCCACCTCTGGGTGCCCTGTCCTCCCAGGAGACTCTGCTGACATTTCTGAGCACAGCGCTCTCCTGGCCTTGCTCTTCCTTCTCCATTGTCCCCCTCCTCGTCTGAGCTGTCCCTCTGCCTGGACAGGTTTCCCAGGTCATAGGTGTGTGTCTGGTGAGACTCTCCAGGAGTCCACTGGGAACACCCGTCTGCTGTGCCTAGCCTGGTCCCACCTTGTCCTGTCTGTCACGCTTTCTTGGGAGGTCGCAGGGTCACCACAGACTCGGCATGTCCACGTGTGGGTCCCTCCTCCCAGGCAGCTTTCCCTTACTTCGCAGCAGCGGGTTCCCTCCTGCTGCCGCACAGGGCGGCACACTTGTCTCTGCAGTGCCTTCTTCTCCCCTACCCTTTGTGAGCAGCTCTTTTGGGCACGGAACAGCTTAGACCAGAGAGCAGGTTCTTAGCTGGTCTCACTGCTGCCAACCCCATGCCGCAGTCTTCATGTCACCTCTGAAACATCCCCTTTACTTTGTCACAGAGCCCCTCCCCTGAGAAATCTCTAGAGGCTTTGGATTTCTTCCTTTGCAAAGCTCGGCTTCTCCCCTGCGCGCGAAGCTCTTGGTCAGGAAGCTTCACTGTCATGCCAGGTTCCAGTCCTGCACCTTCTTACCTCCCTGTCCCGGTTGCCCACTTGGCCCTGCCCTGTCCCACTTGGCTCAGGCGCTGTTTCCCAGCAAAGCTGGGCCCCACCCTCAATGCATCTGGACCCATTTCCTGGCCCTGTGCCTTTGAACCCCCACTGTCCTATAGCTGTCTGGTGATTTGCAGCTGTCCCTGCTACAAGGCTGTTTCCTCTCTCCCGGATTCCACAGGACTGGACACCCTGTGGACCAGTAAAGGTTTTCCCATCCCAAACTTCCAAGAGCACTGCCTCCCGTCCATCATCCTTGAGTCCAGTTCAAATTCCCTCTCCCTCCAAGACTGTTGCACTCTTGCAGATTCTAATCCAGCTACTCCTGCCAGGCTCCTTGATGGATTGGTTACAGGTTGCACAACATAATTTAATACTTTGTTTTCTGCTGTTAGCTTCCCCTATCAGGAGTATGAGACATGCTTTTCTGGCTCTTAACCACAGCAGCTGTTTATTGAGTGGGTTGTTCTGTGTCCTGCACTGGGTATCGAGCTGAGCAGTCCAGGCGCTGTCTTGTTTTGTATCATCCTTACAATACCTGGAGAGGTGGGCATCAGGATTATTGTCCTCATTCTCCCCCTGAGGATGCAGAGTCAAGAGCGGGTCAGGAACCTGCCCCAGCCAAGCAGCTTGTAGGTGGGCAAAGCTGAGGCTGGACTTTGAGTCCGCTGCCCAAGGCTGTTTTTAGGGACGTCCTGTGATTTGCTGTTTGTTCAAGAAGCAGGTATGTCCTACATCTTCTGTGTCCCCTCGGCATCTGGCCGAATGTACAGGACATGCTGGTGACCTCGCTTACTGGTTGCTTGGGGCTCCACTGGACTTGAGGAAAGGACTCTGTCATAGACAGATGGTTAATGGTGGGATAAGTGACTCGGGGAGGCTGTGACATCCGCCGGCTCCAGAGGCCTTGGAAACAGGCTATTTTCCAGTCCAGCTTTAAGCACTGTGGAATAAAGAGAAAGCCTTGCAAGGGTCATTGGGTCATTTCTGTCCAGGAAGGCACTTTTAAATGCTTTTTTTTTGGTAAATAAAACTAATCACCCTCTTATACTGAAACACCTTCAACTAAGTTTATTTAGGAGATGTCCTCCTGCAGGTCACTGTCTATGAAAATGAGCTCCTGCTGTGAAATCCCGTTACCTTGGCAACCAGTAGTGTGAGGCCCTGGTCCCTTGGGTCTCTGCACTGTAAGCTTCGAGGAGCTTTTTCTGTTTCTGTCACCTCAGAAAAACAACAACAACAAAACAAAAGTAAATAAAACACTCCTCTGCACTCTCTTTCTGCAGACATTGAAACATTTTTGTTCTCCAGGCAGTGACATCTGGCTACTGTCAATGCCCCAGCACGTTGTTACCAGGCTGCTGATACCATTAATGGTGACCCTGCAACAATAACCCTGGTTTAGGTCACATTTTGAGTGATTCCCGGTGCCCTGTGGATACAAGGACAGTACTGCAGCTGCCAGGCCAGCCATTTGGATGCTGGAGAGAAGGAGGGACAGGGAATGGTGTGTGTGTGTGTGTGTGCGTGTGTGGCTTGTTGGTGCAGCCCTGCTCCAGGTGGGGGTGAACTCTTTGTTGTACCCTCTTCTGAGGGCCTTGCTCACAGACATCCCAGCAAGGCAACCCAGAGCTGGGTGCCTTGGGGAAGTTAAGAAAAAAAGTTCCTTTGCTGGTGATTGTAGCTAGTGACATTGACTGAATGCTCACAGTGTACAGAGCCTCTTCCCTTATTTACTCTTCAGCTGAGTGAAGTTACAAGTACCGCTGTCATTCCTATTTTACTGGGAAGGACACTGATAGGCGGACAGATTGTTTGTCACATAGCAAGGACAGGATAGAATCACACTTTCCCATGATTTGAGGCTCAATCAGTAGTTTTTGACATTTTAAAGTCTTATGACGGGTACAGTGCTGCAGTGCGAATACATGTACTGGAATGTTCACAGTAGCAAAAACTGGAAATCACCGGTGCCCATCAGCAGTAGAATGGACACATATTTTAGGGTGAGTGCGGACAACAGAATTCATCGTGTGTGTGTGTGTGTGTGTGTGTGTGTGTGTGTGTGTGTGTGTGTGTTGGGGGCGTGATCAGGCTCAGGGCCCCATGCCTACCAGGCAAGGTAGGTCATTGGGTCATTTCTGTCCAGGAAGGCACTTTTAAATGCTTTTTTTTTAAATGCTTTTTTTCATACCAGTGAGCTAAGCCCCAGCCCCGAGTTCATCAGTGTGGATGTGTACCCTCTTAATGTTATTCTTCAATAAGATGTACCCAAGCAGGAGAGAAAGGCAGCAGTGAGCCTAAAACCAGGATGTGAATACAGATGCCCCATTCCCTTTGGCCTCCCTGTGCAGGATCCTTGGGTTTCTCCTGATGGACGCAAGAGTTAGGATGAGCAGGTTCTGGAGGGGTGGCTTGGGGATGTGAGAATGGAGCCAGGGTGAGCTCTCTTTTCTTCCACTACCTCCCACTCTCTGGCTATAGGGGGAGCTTGCTTAGCTAGCAGGTGGCTGCTTGGCGTGGACCCTGTCCCTGAAGCTGCCCTGGTCTTGCTCCCTGGATACTCTGGGATTGAGTGAGGGATATGCATTGCCTTCTACTGGTCGTGGGAAGTCAGGTCAGCTTGTAGGTACTGCAGAATCTGGGGGGTGCTGCAGCCCTGCACGGTCATCCTCAGCCCTTCCACAGCAGCGAGCTGCCTGCAGAACACCAGCGTTTCAAGGACAGCGCCAGCCTGTAGAGTCGCGGCATTTGCTGCAGGAGCGGCTCCTCCATTCACACGGCAGTTATATGCTGCTAAAAATACTGGAGCACCTTATGTAAGCGCATAGTTCCATGGCT